TTTTCTGAAGCCAGCATCTAGTGGCCATTGATGGAACTGCACTTTAAAGCAATACTTCAACATTGTGGGAAACATGCTGATTCACTGTTTGATCAAGCGTTAGGTGAGATCTCAACACCACTGGCTTGTCTGTCAATTAAATATGAAGCTACAGTCAGGAGATAATTAGCCTAGCTTAGCATAAAGACTGGAAATAGGGGGAAACAGCTAGCCTGGCTCTGTCCAGTGGTAAAAACATTAACCTACTAGCACCAGAATATTTTGTTTATGTTTAGTCTTTAAAATAACTCCAGGGAGTCACTGACTAGGCCAAGAAATAGCCATAGCCCTTGTTGTTTTATTAGTGAGCTTTACAGGTGCTGATGTTTATAACTTGCTGCTGCAGGTACATCTCAGGATCTGGATTCTTTTGAATGCTATAACAAAATAAAATATATATTTTTTATTATTTATTTTAAAAAATCCTACCAGCCTAAATAAGGAATTGTGGCTGCATCCTAAAAAGGCAATACATTCTGACTGCTCAAGGGGCTGTTGAATCATTAGCTAAAGTTAATTCAATTATCCAGCTGTGAGCAAGCGTTGCTTCCAGGGAAACGATGGTGGAAGTGGCTCAACAACTGCTCGTTACACACTGAGCAGCACAGTGTTTCTGAGAAAGCCTTAGTCCTCAAAATGAAGTCATGTTTCTCAAAAGAGGGCCAAGAGGGAATTTCTTCAAGTTTGTCATTTTAAGACACAAAAAGACACTAATTTGGATTTATGTTGGTAAAAAGGTTTAACTTTGGGAAATAACCTTTGCAGTGCTGCATGACTCAAAAAAAATAATGTTCTAGTGTCCAATATTGTGTAATTTACACTTCTTTGCAATCCCCAGTCAACCCCGAGTTGCATATGCCTTGTTTTATGCAACTGACATAAGAATACAACTTGTATTAAAGGATAGGTTTTTCTTTCATTCCCATCAGGTATAGTCATGCACAGACAACATTGGTACCTTCACACCTAAGAACATTGTTAATCATATCTTGGAAAGCAAAATGGACATTTTCTGTGTAGACCTGTCATGGCAAGTAGAAAATGAGTGCATAACTAGCGTTAGCTATAGGAACAACTCTGACTAACCAGTGAGTTTCCAGTTTTTGAAAAGATGCATCATCGTTTCTAAATAATTGTGTCTGATCTCAAACTGCAGCAGTAGTGTTGTCAGTACTAAAGGTGCAGCTGTAGCTCAGTTGGTAAAGCAGGTCAGCCACTAATTGTAGGGATGGTGGATTCTTGGTTCCCACATGTGAACTGGTGAGTTGTGCTTTGCATAATTATAATTGATGGAAAACTACTTTTTTAGTTGGGTTTTGGTTGAACAGCCACTACTCCTGATCCAGGAGAGTCATATTGTGTATCCAGATATATAAAGAAGTGAGGGAAACAACCCGCATCTTTAATTTTACATGGGTTGTATTGATTTGACACGTTTCTTGGTCAGAGTAAAGTGTGTTCTTTTCACCCACCCAGCTTTGTTTTTTCTAACCTAAAAGTCTAATTAAACAAAATAACAAAATTCTTCCAGGAACACATTTTTAGGCTGCTCTTTGACAGAAAGCTTGTAATATTATTTGTTAATCTTCAAACTTTTGTTCTGAGATATTCTCCTATTAGAAGTAATCAGAATGCTTAAAACCCTGTGACAAGTGCAACTTGTCCACCTCAAATTAAACTTGGTTCATGTAATAGTTGAATTTGGTTCAACTAGAAAAAACAACGTCACTTGATCAGCTCCATACCAACATATGAGCTGCACAGAATGCTGAATACTGTTTCTTTCCTTTCTTGACTGAGGATAATAAGACGTTACTCAGTTTTGGGCTCTTACCAGCAGTTATCTGAGTTTGTGTGGGGCTGGAGAAGGTGGCAGAGTTGAGTGCTGCAGACTGGCGGGCGTTGGCGGAGGTTTGATGGTGGTGGTGGTGGTGGTG